TTTATTTATATATAATATATATATATATATATATATATATATATATATATATATATATATATGCATATCTATATTCTTATATATATAAGGGTATATATGTATATATTTTATATATATACGTAAATTAATTTTCTGATTAAAGTTTTCTAACTTTACATGTACGTATAAACGAGAATATTTATAAAAAATTAGAAAATCAGAAAAATTATTTTTAAAATCTATTGATTTTATTAATTTTGTGATTAAAGTAAAAGAATAATTACAAATTTTTTAATATGAACGTAATTATATATTTTGCTAAGATTAATCCTTTTATAAATTGCACATCAGACATTATAAATATTCTTATATAATATCAAATAAAAAAAAATAAGAAAAAAACAATAATAAAATTAATAGATCTAAATAAAACAATATACAAAGAGTGAAAATTGTCATAATTTTTATTTCTTCATCATTTGTACGAGATTGGATTATTGTCAATGCTATGAAATATAAAAAATGAAAATTGTGAAATATATAACCATATATAATCATATCGTTCGCGAATACGATTGATCACAAATTAGAAAAAAAAAGATAATCACAATATTATTAAATGTACTATAGATCTATACATTTATTTTTGCATTCTATAATTTCAAGATAATAATTATAATTAATAATAATAATCATAATAATAGGTATTGATGATATGATTATATCCAAACAACAATTAATTAATCTTCTATCTAATATTATACAGTAATAATTTATAAAAATTAATATGAGACTCGCAACAATTCATAACGCATATTTTAACTGTACGCAGGAACTTTTAACGTGACTGGAAAAGGAAAAAGATATTTAATCAATATGTCACGTTTTTTAATTTATCAATCTTTTTCTTAGTTTCTTTTTATACAATAGCAATTTTAACATGCCCAAAAATTGAAAAATATTAAATTTTATATTTATTTGCGCATTGGATCAATATATATCAATATATATTAAAATGCATAATCAATACTCTATCTAATATACACTCCTTCAATCAATGCACTTTTATAAACTTAATGAAAAAAGCGAATTTATATAAAACAGAAAATTTTTTTATTTAAAAAAAAAATTAAAAAATTATTAAACAAAATAATTTATTCAGTTGTTGAGATATATGCATATCAACTATATTCAATAAAAATCACTTATTAGATAATTTATGAAATCTATTGTAGATTAATTCCATATGCAATACTCAATATTAATGGGAAGACAATTAATTTAAATTGCAAATGGAATTCGTGCAAACATAACTTGGAGTTGAATATTTAAATAATAAATCCAATTATTATTATAGTTGAAATATCAAAAAAATATCAAGTAATTGACTTTTCATAGCAAACGGGAAGACTACAAAAAACTAGAACAATTTCCCTCTTTGTAAATACCTTGTTTTTTTCTTTTTCTTTTTTTTTTCTTTTTTTTTTTTTTTTATTATAAGCTCACATACAATAATTTTCTCATTCATGTATGCATACAAACACACAACAATGGATACACATACGCATCAGCACATGCACACGTGTAGTATCCTGATGAAAAAAAAGTTTTTTGACGCAATAATAATTTAAAACAGTAGATAAGAACATTATTGACAAATATTGTACAATTATTGGACGAAGAACGTTCTAACTAAATAGAAGTTCAATATAAGAATACTCAAGTAAATCTAAAATGTCTCGCTCTTTAGTATTAAGAATAAGTAAAAGCGGACGAATCATTACTTGATTTTTCTATATGTACACATATATACCTTAATATGTAAAACAAAGCAACCATTAATGTTATAATTTTATAATACCAACTTGATAATTTAAACTTCGATAATAATTTAAACTCGTCGATTTCAAGTAATACTTGAGATAAGTACACCGTACGAGTTATAAATTTATAAAATTAATATACCTACTACCTAACAATTAATTCTCACAAAATTTGTCAAATGTTACAAGGAATGAATATATTATTAAGATGAAATTAAAAAAAGTCTCGATTTCTTCCATTTGTTTGTTATCACTCATATCTTGCATTACATACAACAACAATTATGTTACAAGACATACTTTATATACTGGCATTGCTGAAGATCAAAATCATTTCTTGTCTTCAAACGAAAAATTAAACTGACTAATAAAATATTTTCGAGCAGAAAGAATTCCTTATAGATTAATTTTTTATATACGTTTAACGATATAAGTAGATTTTTAGAAATCGATATCTTTTTCGATAAATAGAACAGAGAAAATACACGATTCCAAATCTGAAGTAAGTTTTTAATTAACATTCGATCACGTTCTGCAAAATTCATGCGAAAGTTATCGAAGTTTTGCTAAATCGAAAAGCTCGACATCACTTCACCTATTTTTTTACTTTACACATTTTATATCTCTTTTTATCACGAGGCATACATTCTGTTGATTTCGTGTTGATAACGCTCTTGGACTGCTTTTCTTTTAAGCTTAAATGCAGCAGTTACCAATCCCATGTCAGGTGACCATTGTTCTGAACAGAGTTTTATAGCAGCTGGTATTTCGTATCTTTGGAGTTTACCTGAAATAAAAATAAAAATTGTCTAAAAATTATTAAAATATTTTAAAATTAATTAATTTTAAAAATTTTATTTTAAATATTTACATTTTTTAGCTTGTTCAATCAATTCCTGTAATACTGCTTTTTCAATTTCTGAATCATTGCAAAGTTCCTCAAAACTTTTTCCAGTAATTCCTAAATTCTTAGCAATTTGTTCTAAATAGAATGCATTGGGCACTATTAGCGCTACTGTGAAAGTTTTATACGAGTCTCCATAAACACAAATATTTTCTACGATAGGACATGTTTTTAATTCTGCTTCGATTTTGCCCAAAGAAACATATTCACCAAATTGTAATTTAACTAAATCCTTTTTTCGATCTGTAAATTAATAATTAACTCGATAAAAATATATTGAAAAAATCTTTTTTTTTAAATGAACATAACATTAAAATTAAAATATACCTATAATCTTTATGCAACCATCTTCATGAATTTCTCCAATATCACCAGTTCTGAACCATCGTTTCCCATCTTCTTGAAAAAAGTCTTCTTTTGTTTTATCTGGTAACTTATAGTAACCAGCTGAAATATTTTCACCCCCAATTACGATTTCTCCTCTAGGATATGGAACATCTGTAACTCTATAACCAGCATCCTCCCAATTTACTAAACGAATATCACAAATTGTGGTTGGTCCTCCTACTCTTCCGATACTCGTATCATCTTCTATAAATTAAAAATAAAAAATTTAAAAAAAATGTATTATAAAAATAAAAAATTGTTTAATAAAAAACAAAATAGAAATAACATACTATCCATAACTGTAGCACAAGAAGTACTTTCGGTAAGGCCATATCCTTGAGTCAAGGTAACACAAAGACAAATTTTAATTTGAGTCTGGGTATCTGGAGTCAAAGGAGCACCACCACAAAGAATAAGCCGAACCTTTCCACCCAGAACTTGTCTTGCAGCTCCAAAAACATATTTATCCAAAAAAGGAGTATCATAACCACGTTTATACCATTTCAATTTGTAGTTATACGCAAATTTGAAAATTGCTCGACTTAGAAATCCCGATTTCATTACTTTTTCATTAATACCTTTGGAAATACGATCCAGAATAAGCTGTAAAATAAAAATAAAATTATTACAACTTATTTATTATTATAACATAATTTAATTTTCAAAACTTACAGGTACAGAAGTTACACAAGTTGGGCGAAGAACCGATGCATCCCCTTTGGATCCTTTTTGAATTTTGCTACTTGAATCAATCATAGTAAGAGGCGAACTATAGCCGATAGGTACTCCAGATAATAAGCACACACTCTCAGCAAGAAGTTCGAAAACATGAGCCAAAGGTAAGAATGCAAGGAATACATCGTCTGGTTTAATTTCGACGATATCACAAAACGTTTTCATTACAGAAATCACATTTTTGTGTGATAGAAGTACACCTTTTGGTATTCCGGTTGATCCAGATGTATACATTATAATTGCAGTATCCTCGCTTTGTGGTGATAATAATTGTGCATTGGAAATGTTACCCTTTTTTATCACATCAGAAAATGGTATAAGCTTAACACCATCCTAAAATGTATTACAGAAAAATAAATAATAATAAAAATTTTTATAATTTTTTTATAATTAAATATTCAATGATATTTTTATATTATATTTTTATAATTATTTTATATTTTTTGTTAATATCTATATTAAAATACACACCTTATAACCCTTTGTATCAGTAGGTTTTAGTTGATCTTCCATGTAAACAATCGTTTTAACCTTAGGTAATATTTTAAGGAGCGATTTGAACTTTGGCAACAAATCATGACTGGTTATCACGATATCGACTTCCGTTTCATTAATTCCATGAGCAATGGCCTCTTCACCTAGAGTCGCGTATAAAGTTACTACAACTAAATTCTGCTTGAAGCAACCATAAGCTGCAATCATCCATTCCTCTCTAGTTTCGGCAAAGATGACGATATTCTTAGTCGTCGTAAGACCAAGTTCTTTTAAACCTCGACCAAAGGAAGTCATAAGCATTTCAACTTCCAAATAAGTTTTCCATTTATATTCTCCCATTTTGTACTATAAAATAATTTAATCAGTTTATTATTAAATTAAATTATAAATAATAAATTAGAAAATTTAAGTAAAAATATGATACGAATTTGATTAAGAAAAGAATATTTAATATCATTTTAACAAATAATATTATTAATAATTGTAACTTATAACACTAATATAAAGTCATGTGCCATTAAAATTAAGTTTATTTAGTTTTTCTAATATTTATCGTTGTTTTCATGAAACATTGAATGAAACTTCAAAGAAGCTCCAAAAAAATAGAATATCCGATACATATATAAAATCCCACTCATCCTTATATTTAAATTTGCAACGAGTATCATTGCATGTGTATCCATTTTACATGAAAAACATTTTAAAAAAAACACATCTTTCTAATTTCTTTAATTCTTAAAGAAAATAATCTTTCCGAAAATAAATATATCTGCAATGCAATTCTTGTCTTTAATCAAATCATATATATATTGAACTCTAAGAAAGAATATAATTGTTTCTTATCATACCTTTTTAAATATTCTACCACTAGGTTGAATCTCATCTTCCTCAGCAAGTATCTGCCTTGTACCAACACATCTTTTTCCTTTATGCTCCTTAGTAATCCAAAGCATTATTTTGTCAAGTGTATCGATATTTTCTCGTTCAAGCATGATGTGTATTTCTTGTGGTTCATCAACACTCCTATAAGTAATACTCTTATCATCTTTCGCAATAGGTCGAGCTTTAATCCTTCGGGAAGCCTTTCTCCTTTTCCATGGTCGCTGGAGTATGAGATACATTGGAAACGTTAGCAGGTCGTACACATAGGAAAGCGCCTTGAGCGCGTTGATCGCGCTGATGGTCCAGAAGCTTTCCATTTCACTAAAAACAAAACATAAAGTTTGAAAAATTTTGTCTTTTATATTTTTCTTACTGATTGAATATAAGCAAAGTTTCTAAAAGAAAAGGGTTTCGTTATTTGCAACTAAAGATAAAAGAAGAATTTTATTCTATAAATTTTGAAAGCTTAAGCTAGATAAGTTTTTTTTTTTTTTTGCTATATACGATATATAGACAAATGTTGATGATAATTTTATGATATTGTGATTTATAAAATAATATGATTTAAAGAATGTATGTATATAAGTTAATGCTAGTACAAGCAATTTTTTACGTATGTATCAAAATTTGAAAATTCAAATAATTTTATGTTATATTAAATATATTTTTGAAAATTTAAAAAATTGTGAAATAAAATTCAATTATTAAATATTGACATACATTATATACATATTTATACATTGTAAAATAAAATCATTAGCATTATTAAAATATAAAATTCATATTCGTTGTTTGTTAATATTACAATTATTAGACATTACTATTAAAAAATAATTTTATTATAATTATTTAATATTTTATTATTTTATATCCGATAAATATACATAATTAAAAAAATAATATTTCTAATGAATCTTTTAAAATAAAATACATTAACATTTACTATTCTATTTCAATGATGATAAACAAAATAAAATTTTTAATATAAAGTAAGTTATAAAAAGAAAATATATGTATAAATCTAAATCAATTCCATGAAGCATATAATAAATTCATATTCATGCATCAAGATTCATATTCTATTCAACTTATATTATCTAAATGCAAGATTTTTAAAACAGTAAAGAAAGATAAAAGAAAAAAATAGAAGAAAAAGAATCATAAAATTAGTTTGAGATAAGCACAAGATTAAAGACTAATATAGTATATTATGATAAACTGCTTAACCCTCAATTGATAACGTTGTAAATTTTATTTATAAAACACTTTTTATATTCAATAATGTCTTTATATTTGTAAATATAAATTTCATAAGAAAAAAACAAATTTTATCATACTTTCTGATAATCTTTTTCATTCAACATAATTAATCTTCTATTTAATTGCATAGAATATCCTGCTCTATCAATTAAGGATTATTTACACCGACTGTCGGTGCAGTAAACAATATCCTAGTAATATTTTCTTTCAAACTAATCAGATCTATCGATATCGCTGTCTTTACTTGACTTTAATAATAATCACACGATGCATAAAGCTGTTAGTTTATTTTTCTTTATCAAGCTCATCCTTTAAATTGACCTTGTAAATAAGAACGGAGATATCATGCAAAAATAGTGCATATCACACGATTACATGATTTCATAGCAATTAAATTTGATTGCGTAAAACGATATCGATTTATTCTCGGAAATTGAATGAATAATAAAAGCTAATCGAATGAACAAATAGAAGTAGAAACAGCTAAAAAATAAAAAATTATTTACAGAAAAATTATTGAACAAATTGTTTTAATCCTTATAGAATTTATTTGATTCTATGAAAATTACAAATTCCTATAACAATAAATATAAATTTAATAATGTTGCGGCGCACAATATCCGCAGGATAAAAATTCATTTTTTGCGCAGACGCTCAGATCTGTAATCAAATGATCACGGAGGAGAATGTATTGAATCGCGTATTGATTTAGAATGATGTGATTCATTTATCCTTTGATATTTGTTTTATAATCTGAATTTGAGAGATTTGACATAGACATTAAACAGTTTTTAAGAATCTTTTATCCTTAATCTTCCATTGCATTCTTCATTCCATAATGCATTATGTATAAAAGAGGAACAGAAGTTTCTTCTAATGAAAATAATTGTTATAAATTTCCGAAACATTCTAATAGTTCTTGCAACTATTACCAGTCACTTTACAAACATTGAAAAAGATTAATAATAAAATTGTTGCCATCAAAATGCGAAAACAAATTATAAATAAATAAAAAATATATGAGAAATACTTATCACCCAAGTACTGGCATTCAAATCAATAAAATTCTATGTTTCTTCGCTAAAAAATAGCATTATGTTTTTGAACATATCGTAAGCCTTGCGATTTGTTACAAAAAATTTAGACAAATGAAGTCTCAATACAACGATGTAAAATATATAAAATTTATTAAATAAATGTAGGTGTCTATGTTTGTTATAATTAAATCTTAGATAATAGAATAATTCATAATTTCTTATTTGATTTTATTTCATATAAATAATAAGAAAAATTGAATTAAATTTAATTGAAACTAATTAAGAATCTGAATATCTACATTCGAGCATGACATTTTTTTAATTTAATGGCTTACATTAGATTATTATTTGTATGAATTTATAAATCGTATTATAATATTTATCTCCATGTATTAAGAAAATAAAATACTCTAACAATATTAAATATCATGTTTCACATTCTTATCATTTTTATACCATGCTGTCTCGCGGTTATATCGTATGTTTCATTATACGTATAAAGGATCGTTTACTCCGTTTAAATAATTCAGTTTAAATATTAAAATTTTTGTCAACATATATAAAATGTTATTATTATAATAAATAAATAATACAAAACAAAATATCAATTTCCTAAATAAAAAAAATTATATTGTTTATTTAAAAAAGAAAATGAAATATTTATAAACATTATTATAATTTACAATTGTAATGAAACACATTCAAATAATAATACCGCAAAAAAATTAGAGTTTGTGAAGTCAAATCGTGGCTCATAATGACTTTACCGACTCGAAATAATAGAATGGCGCCACGCAACACTCTATATAGTATGTAATATACCAACATACGGAACAAACACAATTCAAAGCATGGCATAACTAGCGACAAGTGTATGTGATTCAGATATTTCCGAGGACTTTGAACGTTGTCAGATGTGGCTACTACTATTGAATCATGCATATAATCTTTTCGTTAACTGAAATTCTAAATAGTTTTTTCTGTATGCATCTTTATTAATTATAAAAATTATTGTGAAATCACGAAATATTATACCGCCAACCACATCAAAGTTCACATGATATAGACCGGTTATAGATAAGATAGATAAATTACGCGGATCATTTATTGGCAATTAATTGTTAAAATATATAATTCTTTACCTTTTTTTATTAAATGTATCAATTTCATATAAGATAAAATTTTATTGTTTTGAAATGTCGAATCAGAAAATAATTATAAATAATATTAAGAAAAAATGAAATGATTGACGCATGTTTCGAATATATAGATATTTTGAAACAACAATTATTTTTAAATTAATTAATTTAATTTTTCAAATTTTTTAAATTTAAAATCGAACATTAAATATCTTAATATTTAAGTATATATTTATAGTATTGATTATTTTCTTTGTTTCAGATAAGTTGAATAATTAAAATTAACATTAAAATTTAACATATCATAAATTAATATACAAAAAATCAGATAAGTATTTTTTTTAAATTAATTTAAAATTTCTAAATATCGATATAGAAAAATCAAGATTATTTATTACTATTAATATAAAATATTTTTATAATTTAAAATATTTCATTTAATTTAAAGATATAATAGTACTTAATTCAATTTATAAAAATCATTTAAAGAAAATTTAATCTTTAATACATTTTGTAATGCAAATTTTAATCTATTTACATTTAAATAATTACATATAATAAAATATTATGTAATATTAAAAATGCTATGCTAATTCATTAACATTATAATACAAAAATTTTGTTATTTTTAGGATTTTGAATTTATCATTGAAGGAAATACTATTGAATACCATTGAGTCAAGATGCATTTTGCATCATACAATATTATAAAATTCAATATCTTAATTTGCATTCTTATAAGAAATTTACATACGCTAAAAATGTTTTTACCTCAATTCAATGAGTATTTCTAAATTGATGTGTTAACAAACATATTTATATTACTTGCACATATATTCATTTATTTAAAAATTATAAAATATAAATACATGCTAATAAATATAATAATAAAATAATACTTGATTATGATAACATCAATATATACATATTTGTGTTCATAAAAATAATCTAAAAACTTATCTTAATTTACGTTTTATTATAGTTATTATAATTTTATTTGGAAAAATCTTAGTTTGTAATAAAATATATATAAATATTGATGAAAGAGCGATATATATATAAAAAATAAATAAATTATAAATCTGCAAGCACAAATGTACAAGCTTAGTGAAAGATATTCATAGCAAAGAAAAGCATAGAAAAAAGTTAATGATTTTTTTCTTTTCATCTAGCTACGACTCACGATTTCTCGTCCACGATCATGATGAATCGTTATCAGGTCACCTTTATTCCCAAGATACTGTACCTCCAGTATTTTAATGGAAGTCGATATGATGTGGATTAATAATGCTGTAAGAAAAATTATTAGCAATCGATGTGATTAATGGTACATATCGTAAAATAGGTACGGCTTTCTGTTCTTTATATTCGACCATTGAAATCGTTCTCGACGTGAACACCGATATTAGATCATTTCTGATATAGGTAACATATATATATACATATATGTATATCCTACTTAAGTTGATGACTTATCTGATCAATTTTTACTTGATATTTTAAATATTGAAATAGAGGTAGAAATTGAAATAGAAATAAAGATATATATACACACTATATACTATCATATATTTTCATATTTTTATATCCATTTTTATTTTTTGTAAAAGTTAAAATAATAAACTTTATATGAAAATTTTTCCATATTTGAATATTTTCTCATAATTTTGCATATTTGAATCTGTATTAAAAATTTTGTTTTATGATGTATTTCGATTCCTTATAATCAACTTTTTATAACCAAAGTTAATATTTATTTGATATTCTGTTGACTCTATACTTGATATTGATGTATGTTATTAATATATATAAATTGTATATTGTGCTGTATGATTTAATATATATATATATATATATATATATATATATATATATATATATATATATATTATATATATATA